GGTTTAGGGTTTAGGGTTTGGGGTTTGGGGCGGCTCTGGGCGAGGACAGCTGCGGGGGTCCTGGCGGCCGCTGAAGCTCGAGGGTTTAGGGTTTAGGGTTTAGGGTTTAGGGTTTGGGTCTGCAGGTCATTCCGGCGAAGACAGGCATCCAGGTGCTGCCCTTCCCCTCCCTGACTTATCGTTTGCTGCTGCAGCACAAGGCAAGAGCAGCAGCAGCTGCTGCTGCTGCTCCTCCTCCTCCGAAAATAAGCAGCAAATATCTAAAGTGACCTTTCCGCCACGCAGCAGCAGCAGCAGCAGCAGCAACCGCAGCAGCAACAGCAGCAGCAGCAGCAGTACAGAGTCTGTGCTGCTGCCACAGCTAGCCACAGCTAGCTGCAGGCAAAGGCTGCGGGTGTGGGGCGTGGGGTGTACGTACACCCGACGGACTTGGCTGCGTGTCTTTGAAAGTTTATTTTTTGCAAATAAACAAAAACGCTTTTTATAAATTTTTCTTATCTGAATTGTTCTTTGTCTCTTTGCTGCTGCTGCTCTGGCTGAGCAGTGGGGTGTACGTACACCCCAAAGCAGTGTGGGGTGCAAGCAGCTGCACAGCTGCGCGCCAAAATGGCCTGCGAAACAGCAGCAGCAGCAGCAGCAGCAGCTGCTGCTGCTGCTGCTGCTGCTGCAGTGGGGCACACTGGCAGATCTAGGGCGGCCGGTCCCTTCTTCGGCGGTGCTGCTGCGCTGACTCCCCTTGCTGCTGCTGCTGCTGCTGTTGCTGCTGCTGATGCTGGTCCAGCGCTGCACGTTGTAAACCCTGGAGGGTGTCTACTAAACCCTAAACCCTAAACCCTAAACCCTCGAGGCTAGGACAGTGGTTTTGCTGCAAAGTTGCTCCAAGAGTGTCTGTAGAAGCGAAATTGAGAGGGCTCTAGCGCAATGTTTAGGGTTAAGCGTTTAGGGTTTAGGGTTTAGGGTTTAGGGGAGCATGCAGGCGGAGCGGGCTGGAGGCAGCAGCGGCTGCTGCTGCAGCAGGAGCCTGTGCTGCATAGCTGAGGTGTACGTACAGCTCATCTGCAATGTAAAAATATAATTCTTTATTTCGGAGCTTAGAAGGCAGCAGAAGCAGCTTCTGGAGTTCTTGCTGCTGCTCCCTTTGTAGCTAGCAGCAGCAACCGCAGCCGCCTTGACCCGAAACCCTAAACCCTAAACCCTAAACCCTCGCAGCAAACCGCGGGCGTCTACCTCGCCCGTGGACTCATTTGCTGTTTTGAGCCCGCTGGCTGTGGGACACACCGCAGCAGCAGCAGCAGCAACAGCAGCAGCAGCAGCAAGGGGAGCAGCAGCAGCAGCGGGAGGAAGAGCAGCAGCAGCTGCAGGAACAACAGCAGCTAAGCTCAGTTTGTTTTGTTTCTGTTGAAGAGGGAGTAGTCTACGCACACGGCTCCTGGGGGGCCGCTGATAGTGGTCGCCGCTGCTGCTGGCATTCTGGGGCGCTGCTGCTGCTGCTGCTGCTGCAGCTGCCGCTGCTGCTGCCGCTGCTGCTGCTGCCGCAGCACCTGCGATTCCGCATTTGAGGGCGTTCGGGGTGTCTATACACCTGCGAGTCGAGAGGCCGCTTCGGTGTGTCCCCGCGAGCGGCTTGGGGCCGCAGCAGCAGCAACAGCAGCAAGACCCGCAGCAGCAGCAGCAGCAGCAGCAGCAGCAGCGCAATGTCGGAGCCGTACGAGGAGAGCGTGGTGGAGGCTGAGGAGTCCGAGGGGGAGTCTGCAGCAGCAGCAGCAGAGTCGGGGGCGGAGGAGGACGAGGAGGCGCGCGCAGCAGCAGAGGACCCCGCAGCAGCAGCAGCAGAGGAGGAAGCAGCAGCAGACGAAGAGCTGGGGGCCCTCGGGGGGCCCCTCGGGGGGCCCCCCGGCGCGGGGCCCCAGGCCGTGACCCTCGGCGAGGCCCCCGAGCTGGGCGAAGTTGCTGAAGTTGTTGTTGTGGCCACAAGTTTGGGGTCCATAAAGCGGCAGTTCTTCAGCAGCAAACGAGTGCAGCACTTCCTGGACTGCAAGGGCATTGTTTACTTCCTCATTGACTGCAACAGGGACACCTCCGCCGCCATGAGTCCGCCTGCTGCTGCTGCTGCTGCTGGGCTTGCTGCTGCTGCTGCGGCGGCGGCGCTGCTGCTGCTGCGGCGGCGGCGCTGCTGCTGCTGTTGGGCTTGCTGCTGCTGCTGCTACTGCTGCAGTTGTGCTGCTTTGGGGAGCCCTCGTGCCTCAGGCGAGCGCTGGGGGGTTCTTCAGATCTGCTTCTGGCTGCCCTTGCGCTGCAGGTCTTCTAGGGTTTAGGGTTTAGGGTTTAGGGTTTAGGGTTTGGCGGGTGTTTGCAGACCTGAAGGACATCGAATTGTTTAAGGAGTGGAAGGCTCAGGGCATTCTCCGCACAGTAGAAAACCCTAACAGCGAAACGGGAGAGCCCGAAGGTGCTGCTGCTGCTGCTGCTGCTGCTGCTGCTGTGGCTGCTGCTGTGGCTGCTGCTGTGGCTGCTGCTGCTGTGGATGCTGTTGCTGGTGCTTCTGCGGCTGCTGCTGTGTTTGTTCGCATGGCGGTGGCTGCTGTTGCTGCTGCTGTGACTCGTGCTGCTGCTGCTTCTATATCTCCTGCTGCTGCTGCTGTGGATTCCAGTTGTCCTTTGCTGCATATGCGGAGACAGTGTGGCGTGTCTTAATGCAGCTTTCAAGCTATTCCCGCTCTTTGCAGGGTTTAGGGTTTAGGGTTTAGGGTTTAGGGTTTGGTGGCTTGCTGCTGCAGTGGAGCTGCCCCAAGTGCTGGTCGACGGCGTCGTCTTGGGCGGAGAGAATGAGCTGCAGGAGTTGGAAGAAGATGGGGACTTGGGTAAACCCTAAACCCTAAACCCTAAACCCTAAACCCTCATTCGGGACTCCGCAGCAAACTGGATTTTTGAAAAATGCACTTCAAATAATTTGAATCCGTTAATGCATGAAGTGCACAAATGCATTAATTGCAAATACAACTACAAATAAAAGCATAAATAAAACAAAATTAAATTAAATTAAAAATAAAATTAAAAATAAAATAA